TGGAAGACAGGAGGGCCTGGCGTGCTCTGGTCCATGGGGACACGAAGAGTCGGACACGACTAAACGAATAAACAACAATTATTCATGACTCAGATGATGCCTTTTCTCACTATCTTTGTTCTGTTTCACTGGGATTACATGGGGTTGCGCTGATATTCCTTCTGACGTCACATAAATTGTTTTCCAAAGAGAGCACTTCCAGGTTTTTATTTGAAGCTGGGATCTGGGCTCTGGCCTTCCAGATCCTGTCAGGGACAGCACTTCTCCCCCACCTGTCAGACGCTGCAGGCTCAAACAGAGGGCCGTCCTCTCCCACACGGGCCACCTGTGGCCCTTCCGAACATCTGGCAGCCACATCTGGCAGCCCTTGACCCGGGAGGCCAACCAGAAACACAGCCCGCTGGCCTCTATTCCCTGCCGATGATGATGACCTCCTCCTCCTACTCCTCCGCAGCCCCTGTTCTGTTGAAGGCAGGTGTCGTAAATATGCTCAGGTGATGCAACACGCCTCCCTTCGGCCTCACCTTCCTTCCTGCAGGTCAAGGGATGCCCAAGAAATGCTAGCTGGCCCCAATCCACCTGGACCAGCTGGAGGGTGTCTAAAGGGACACACCTGTGATTTTTTTTTGTTTACAGTACTGTCTGTAAGCATTGCTACCTGTTCCCACTCAAAAAGGTCCCCGAGGAGGAGGCGCCGTGTTTCAGCAGGATGGGGACAGGGGTTCTGCTGGCTTTGCTGGTATGCAGAACTGGCTGAATAGCTCAGGGGGTTCGGGTCTCCTGGCTGCTGAGCCAGAGTTCGAATTCCCACAGGGCCTTCCTGACAGAGGCTTGATCAATAGCTGGAAGGGACAGCCCTGCAGTTCTAAGATGATGATGATGATGATAATGATGATGATGGACAGCTCAGGGGTTGAGGTCTCCTGGCTGTGAGCTCCTTGATAGAGGCTGCACTGCATGATCCACAAGGGCTCTTCTAGCTCTGTAGTTCCAAGATGATGATGATGATGATGATAAAAAGGACGAAGCCCCGTGGAACCCTGGGTCCTTCTAAGGAGAAAGGCTGGGTAAAAACCTTTTAAATAAAGAACTAAACCTTTCCTGAGCCTGCCTGGGTCTCCCCGAGGTTAGCGATGCCTGGCGGGGTGGGGCCCGATTCGGCAGCGGCTGGATCGGGGCTTGCACGTAACTGCCGGTTCTCACGTGGCGACCGTATCCGTGTCTTTGAGATGCCGAACCCGACAAAGTCGAACACGTCTCACGCTGACGTCACATCTCAAACCCCCCGACGGGGCGGGGCTTCGCTGCAGCGCCCGCTCCGCCCATCTCGGCGGAATCCCGCCCTCCACCCGCGGTGATTGGCGAAGCGGGTCAGGGAAAGGGCGAGGAGCGCGGCTGCTGCTTGGCTCGGGAGCGCGTCGGTCTGCCTCTGTTGTACGCAACGCGGGCTCTGGCGGCCCACCCGTCTGAGAGGAGAGAGGCGGGCGGGGATTGGCCGAGCAACCTTGTGGGCGGGGCTTCACGGGGGCGGGGCGGGGCTCCTCCTCCTCCTCCTCCGGCCAAGACGGGGAAGGAGCGCAGAGGCGAAA